CCAAAGAAGAGTCTGCAATATCATCAGTCTTTACCTGACATCTCGACTTCAGTCACATTCCACCGATATAACGTGGCTTCCCTCTGTCTTTTCTATAAATATTTTCGTGGCATTTGTTTTAATGAATTCTCTTCCTTTGTACCTTGACCGCGTGAATTTATATGTATTACCAGATTGGCAAATAGGTTTCAGGGTTTTATTATTGAAATTGTTTGGTGCAACCGCAAATTCTACTCTAATATTTTCTTTGCTCACAAATCTCGCTTGTAGAGCTTTCTTCTGATTTCACTATCCTATAGTCTCCAAAAATTCAACTGCAACGTCAATCACCATCTTTTGTCTTCCTGTAACCCCTGACATTTTAGTGGCATTATCTCCATCTTCTATCTTCCTTAATTCTGTTCTTTTATTGTCCTTTCTCTTCACTAAAGTCTTCTGATTCTCTTTCACTCCCAGTAACCCCTTACGTCTTAGTGGCTTTATCTCCATCTTCTGTCTTCCTGAATTCTATTCTTTTATTGTCCTTCCTCCTCAATAAAGTCTTCTCATTCTCTTTCATTCCCAGTAACCCCTTACGTCTTAGTGGCATTATCTCCATCTTCTGACTTCTTGAATTCTGTTCTTTTATTGTCCTTCCTCCTCAATAAGGTCTTCTCATTCTCTTTCACTCCCAGTAACCCCTTCCGTCTTAGTGGCATTATCGTTTTGCTTGATTTGTCTATTTCAAGTTCATGTGTGAAATCGATGGAAGTTCTAAAAATAAACCGGATATAGACAAATCTGTACCTTTCCTCGACATCTTTTAATGCCTAGAAATAACAAATTAGATTTTAGAGTTTACGGCAAACCCACAAACAAAAATGATTTAATCAACTTCTATTCCCACTGGAACCAAAAATAAAATCAAGACAAATCATTGTTTTTTTTTTTTTGTTGTTGTTTTTTTTGCCTCAGAGCCCTTAGAAAATACATTGAGAAAATATTTTAACTTTTTCATTACCAACATCATTTCATCCTCTACTCAAGTTAACGGGAACACAACGTTCACAAGTCCAAAACAGTAGGTGCCACCACCGACAACAGAGTCATTTCCCTAAACAAAAACACAAAATTCATATCTGTCTATATTTCTGAGATGAGGTATTATGTACACTATTTACATTGCTCATCTTTCTTGCCATATTTATCACAACGTTTCGGCTGTTGTTCACTCCGGTCTTCTTCAAGCCTTTATTTCTCTCGCTGGGATAGACTGTTCTAGTTCCTCGTGTCATTTGTAAAATCATAGACATAGACCATCATTGGAAAATTCGTAAACTTAAGGAATCAGCACATTTGCTAGGCTACAAATATCTCCTGAGCCGACCAAGCATAGAAATGAATACAATATGGGAACCAGTAATAAGGAGTGCCAGTGAAAAGCAATGATAACAACGAAAATTGCAATATGAACGCTGGTAAAAAAAATGAAATGATAACAGCAAAAATTGCAATATGAGCTCTGGTAAAAAAAAATAGTTGCTGAAGACATTAGGTTTATCATACACAGATGTCTTCAAGGACACATAGTACAGTGGATAAAGGCTTTAGTTAGATCCAGTGACAGGACCCAAAAAGTGTGAGTTCAATACCTGGTTAAGGCGGTGGAGATAACTGATAACTGACATCCATTAGACATGGCACGCGGAACTATAAGCCACCTGAAGAAAGCCGTAGCGTACAACGGCCGAAACTTTGTGATAAATGTGGCCACAAAAATGAGGATGATAATGTAATGTAAATAGTGTACAAAATTCATAATCCTATCCTATCAACAAAATTTAAAAACAAATTAGTTATCCTAATAAAAAGAAATATAGATCCAACAGCACATAATAACATGATTACAGGAAGTGCTACATTGGCGAAACATCTAGAAAAATCTAAAAGCTCGTATTTACGTTCATAAGAGAGCCTTACGTTATGAAAACCGTTTAAAATCTCTCGTAATACTCAGAAACAAAACAGGCGGTAACTTCGATTTTATAAATACCGCCCTAATTAATTCTTTACACAGGAAATACTTTGAGGGAACTCTGATAAATATTTTAACACCTATAAAAACACGTCAAACACAGCAACTTTTATAAAATCAATACTTAAAGAATCTAAAGTATATCTACCTACTACCACAACCTGCGTAATTGAATTTCTTTCACCCTCACACAAAATTTCCTAAGATCAACATGCGGACATCCACTAAATATGGATAATGATCACACGAACACAAGCACACAGACAAAAGAATACACATCATCATCCGAATTCCGCATAGACAAACTAGAATTATGATACACATATAATTTATTTACACGAACGCTGCAAGACAGATGCACGCGAGGACTGATTAACCAATGAAAAACAAACACAAAAATTAAAAATACCAGAATTTTCTTTTCTCCTCTTTGTTTTCTGATGAAGCTTTAATAAAAGCGAAACATGCTAAATTTATAAACGTTTCCTATATTTTTATCCTATTATATATATATATATATATATATATATATATATATATATATATATATATATTAAGGCATATCTCATCGAATAATTTGGACAAGTTTTGTCTACTTATATTCAATAGGATCTTGTCATATTCACGGACAAAGGAAGAAAGAAAATTAGTATGCTGATACATATTCATTTTATTCCGAGTACTTTCGACATTAGCACAATGTCATCATCAGGTTGTTGTTGTTGTTGTTTTTCTAAGACAAAAATGTTGCGTTCATCTGAAATTTAATTTTTTTTAACCGTGAAATGAAAAACGCTAAAGTTACTGTATGGCTTGGATTTCACGATGTAAACGTCAGGGAAGGTAAATAAGTTTGAAAAACAACAACCCTGATGATGACACTGTGCTAATGTCGAAATTATTCGGAATAAATCAATATGCATCAACGTGGTAATTTTCTCTCTTCCTTTCATTAGGATACTAAGAAACTTGTCCGTGAATATGACAGGATCCTATTGAAAATAAGTAGACAAAACTTGTCCAAATTATTCAATGTGACATGTCTTAATGAAAACATGCTGTCAAAATATATGCGATATATATATATATATATATATATATATATATATATATATATATATATATATATATATTTGTCATATACTTATATTATAATCTATATTATCAGCTGTCAATATACCTCATTACACCCTCGAGCGCTTACTCTTGGAGCGGGGGTAGAATGGAGATCAACGTGTTTTAGTGGACTCAGCAGTTCTCAATCAACTTGTCTGAATCTACTTCAAGAAGCGAGAGCAAGATCTAAAAGGTCAGCCAATCTAACAGTGATCTCATCCCACAATCCTTACTCTTGCTCCATATGCGGCCTGCTTTGTAAATCCCTAGCGTGTCTTAAGTGCCACTTAAGATTATCGCACGAAATTTCATAACTGAATCAATTAAGCTGTCAGATCCTCATACGTCGAAACCGACGGGAGAGAGTCCATTATCATTATATATATATATATATATATATATATATATATATATATATATATATATGTGTGTGTGTGTGTGTGTGTAAAGCTGTAGAAAACGAATCTATCAATGATACACTGATTAGCTACAGAGGCATACCTTTTATATTTATTTACAATGTAAGGGTGAGTTCTATACAGAGAATGTAAATTTTACATTCTCTGTATAGAAATGACCCTTGCCACAAAGTGAGGGATCAGTTTATATAGTGACTGTAATATAGAATTGATCACCCAATTTATATCCATATTATAATTTCTTTTTATGTTTATCCAATTCTGATTAGCTACAAATCCAACACATCTCCCTCATCTATCGGTTAATTAGCGAATTCTTAAGGCTTGGATCAGTAAACCATTATTACCTTCTCAAAAATTCTTACAATGAAAAAAGAAAACTTATGGTTTTCAATAATCCGGAAAGGGTTGATAAACCGTAAAAACGAATCAATCAATCAATGGCCATGTAAAGAGTCCGAAAATTACTTGTAAGCGTTTTTATATCTATAGATACAAGCATTTGCTTATCACTAAACGTTTTTCGACTAACGTCACACCAACTGAGCAATAACCCTTGCCACCTCAAAATATCACAGAAACAGCATATTTGCAAACGGTATAAAAGGCTTGGCTGACTTTAGTTGAGTATTGATCATGGTAAGTAGTAATAGTGCTCGCTTGCCGTCGGCAGGTATCCGGTGGGAGATGCTTGGACTATTTGGACTGGGTAACACGTTTAATCTAATGTGGCATGTAACATTTAGTAAGAGATGAGGGCCAACTTCGATAGAGGATGAGAAAGATTTTCCATAAGTAAGACATGTGGGCGGTTTACGTAAATATTGCAGGCACAGTGGAAATAACGTTATTGTGCTTTCTTGCCTTTGCTTTTCGGAATCTGTTTGCGGGCGGAGAACGGGGGCGACGATGAAAAAGGAAAACAAAACGGCAGCTTGCCTGTAGGTGACGTCAGCTCATCTCCAAGCGGTACGTGTCACGCCGTTTCGTCCGGTGGGTTGTTTAATCCACACAATCGGGCAAAATTCTCTCGATGAATGGGGCCCAACTTAAGCATGGTATTTTTTTTTAAAACAATAAATTCTGCTTCTTTAAATCCTAGGTGATGCCCGATTAAATAAAACTCTGCCTTAAGTGGCTCTTTAACGTATTTAAGGAATACTTGTAAAAAAAAATGGCTTACGGCCACATCACGTTGAAACACTAGTTCCAGTACGATCACCGAAGTTAAGCAACGTCTATCCTGGTCACTATTTAGATGAGTAACTGGTTGGGAATACCAGGGGTTGTAAGCTTGGATGGGCGGCTGCTATCATTACGGCCAGATCACGTTGAAACTACAGTTCCCGTACGATCATCGAAGTTAAGCAACATCTGTCCTGGTCAGTATCGAGATGAGTAACTGGTTGGGAATACCAAGGGTTGTAAGCTTGGATGGGCGGCTGTTATCGTTACGGCCAGAGCACGTTGAAACTACGGGTCCCGTACGATCACCGAAGTTAAGCAACATCTATCCTAATCAGTATCTAGATGAGTAACCGCTTGGGAATACCAGGTACTGTAAACTTGGATGGGTGGCTACGGTTCCCGTACGATCACCGAAGTTAAGTAACATCTAACCTGGTTAGTACCTAGATGGGTGACCGCTTGGTAATACCAGGTCTTATAAGCTTGGATTCTGTGTCAGGTATGGCTTACGGCCAGTTCAATTTGAAACTACAGTTCCCTTACGATCACCGAAAGCAACGTCGAGCCTGGTCAGTGCCTAGATGGGTGACCGCTTGGTAATACCAGGCGCTGTAAACTTGGATGTTCGGCTGGTATGGCTTATGGTTACATCATGTTGAAACACCTGTTCTCGTACGCTCAGCGAAGTTAAGCAGTGTTGAGCCTGGTCAGTACCTAGATGGGCGAACTCTTCGGGAAACCAGATGCTCTGAGCTTTGATGTGCGACTTGTATGGCTTACGGCCACATCATGTAGAACCAATGGTTCCGTATGAGCAACGTCAAGTCTGGGCAGTACCTAGATGGGTGACCGCTTGCGAGCACAAGCTGGTTCGTTATATTTACTTGCGCGAAAATACCCATGGGAAAGGTATGAATCCACCTTTTCTCCCCCTCAGCTATGGGTTAAAGTGTAAGACTTGTATCATGAAATCATTTTTATCGCAACAAAGATTCTTACAATCTAAAAATATTTACTGACTTTAATTAATTAACCTGCAAAGGGTTCATAAACTGTCGAGATCGGATCAATCAATCGATGAAATATTGATTAACTACACAGGCATGTCTTTTAGATTTATTTACATTCTCTGGAATATAAATATATAGAAACTACCGTGGCCACAAAATGAGGGATCAGGTTATATATTGATTGTAATATAGAATTGATCTCTCACTTTATATCCACATTATAATTTCTTGTCGGCATGTCTTTTAGATTTTACATTCTCTGGAATATAAACGTATAGAAACTACCATGGCCACAAAATGAGGGATCAGTTTATATACTGATTGTAATATATAACTGATCCTCGAATTTATATCTATATTTTAATTTGATGTCAGCATGTCTTTTAGAGTTATTTACATTCTCTGGAATAAAAATGAATAGAAACTACTTTGGCAACAAAGTGAGGGATCAGTTTATATAATGATTGTAATATAGAATTGATACCCCATTTTCCTTTGTAGCTCTTAGTAAATTTTGTCTTTTGTTATAACTTCTAAACCCTTTTTTTGCCATCTATTTGAATAAATTCGTTCGGTAGGTTACGTGCAGTTTTCCTCTGTCTCGCTTGCCTTTAATATGCCTTGTGCGTGTCAAATTTTCCAAGTCATCTTTCCTCATTTTGTTCCCTAGAAATTTCAACTATCTCTTTCTGATGTTAAGGATCCTTATTACTTCTATTTTCTTTCAAATTTCATCTTGGTCAGTATCATCTTGGTTCATCTTTGTTCACATATTCAGTCGATTGTATTATCAACATCCTTCTGTAAAAACATATTTCCGTAGCCTCAAGTCTCTTCTTCATCTGTCGGAAGTTGGTCCATCCTTCACTGCCATATAGGACGACTGATATTCCCTAACAGTTCAGTAATGTTTCCTTTGTTTATAACGAAATGTTCCTGTTTCTTAATACTCTGCTTAACTTTTGAAGAAAGGCAACTTTTCAGCTATATCTCAATATATTTTCATACGCCCTAGTATTTTAAAGAAAAGAAATATGATAAAGTGTGACGCGTTTTGACCCCGAGGATTCGTCAGAGTAAGTTTATACTTACGTTAGTCTGACCACACGTACGCACGAAAGAAAAACGCTGGAAATGTTATATATATATATATATATATATATATATATATATATATGTATGTATAGAGAGAGAGAGAGAGAGAGAGAGAGAGAGGGAGAGAGGGAGGGGGAGAGAAACTTGTGAAGATTAATATGTTTCAGACTAATTTATGCTTAGTCACTGTCATTATATATATACTAGCAGTAGAGCCCGGCGTTGCCCGGGGATGTAACAGTAAGAGATAGATCAAGTATCGACCATCATAAAGACTGAAAAATAAAATTGACAAAGATTATTGTTTAAGGTTGACGGACACGCATGTCTTAATTAGTTTTTTTTTTTTGTTTGTTTGTTTTTTTTTTACGAATTGGTCAAACCCAAACTCAAACAAAAACATTGTTTTCAATTGTTATGAGTCTACCGATTGAATAGAATTTTATTATAAACAATTGTCTTGTAAATGGAATTTTTAAAGCATTCTGAATGTAAAAATAAAGAAAAAAGTGTGCAAGACAATAAGAAACACTACCTGCCAAAAAAAAAGGTGACGTTTTGTTGAAATCGGTTGAAAAATGTAGGAAATCCGATCCCATATATAAACGAACACACAAACCCACACATACACACACACACACGCACACACACACACACACACACACACACACAAACAACCTGGGTTTTTATCATAAGTATAACTCGATATGAGTTGTCCCCGTTTCATTCTCGCGACAGCGATGCCTCTTAATCGTGTTTTCAAATTGATTTTGTGCAAAAACAATTGTGTTTTTCCAATTTTTGGCGCTGTCAGAACCACCGCAAGGTAATTTTATGTAGTCCTGTGAAGTTTTGTTGAAAATCGGTTGAAAAATGTAGGAAATCCGTTATATAACGAAAGTATGGGTTTTATAATATATATGATATATATATATATATATATATATATATATATATAAAAAAGGCTTAAACACTAATATTCCATGGTCATAATTTATTCCATTGGAATCGTATATATATATATATATATATATATATATATATAGTCAAACCTAGAGAGCCAGACCTACCAAGGTTTCACCTAAGCTGATCGTCAGGGAAAGCCAGCTATCCCCGGCGATCCGCTTAGTAGATTTGTCTAGCTCTCTCGGTTTGACTAGGCCTGCTCTACTTTTGTATTGAGCACTTTTTTAGTTAGTTGATTACTCGTATCGAGTTTTTTTTTTCTTTGGGCTTTCGACCTGTATGCTGTACGATTATTTTCGACAGACGTTCATGTTCCTAGCTCTTTCTTTTTTAAAAACATTTGTTTCTTTCGAAATTGATTTAATCATTAGCAAATCAAGAAACCGAAGGTTTTCGAGACAGTGTAGTTACCTATATATATAAAATATTTTTATATATATATATATATATATATATATATATATATATATATATATATATATACACAAATTAATTGAAAAAAATCGAATAATTCAGTTATTAATTACTTTTCTTTCGTATTTTTCCAATGAAACATAACCCAATGCCCATCTTAGTACTTCGTATGTCAATTCCACAAAGTCGTTCCTTGCAGATTGACCACAGATTCTTAATTAGATTTAAATCAGGAGCGTTTCCGGGCCAGTCTATAGTACTTTGATTTACTCACTGGTAAGGCTCGGGTCAGGGTGGACCTGGGAACACCAGCAATTAAGAGGTGGTTCCATGCTCCTCAAAACCTCCTGATCAGAGGCCCTGCTGCTGGACGTAGTTTACCCAGGACGCGGATGTAGTTTATCGCCATACCTAGGAAGGCATAAGGCTACGGACTTATTGATGTGGTCGTCTGTGGTCGATTACACGGTCTCTTAACGATTCTGCTTTATTAAGTGGGCTATGTGAAGGAAAAGACACGTCCGATTGTAAAGTTAGCTGCAATTATCGAGACGTGTAGCAATCAATACGAACTGTTCTTCAAAATGTTGCGGAGTCGAAAAAAAAACAGAGCGGCCATCGATTGATTCAATAACATTGTATACTTTGTGGAATTAATAACAGGCAAAATCAGAGAAAGGAAGAAAGAAAAAAACTTCAAACGAGAAAAAAATAAAATAAATGCTGCATGCTTGACATTAGAAGAAATGTCTACGGAATGGTAAAGCTGACATTGTGCGAGTCCATTTTGCGTGGGACGGGTACGTTAGAGAGATCTTTCTCTATATTTTTCTCTCACACGCTCTCTCTCTCTCTCTCTCTCTCTCTCTCACTCTCTCACTCCCTCATGCTCTCTCTCTCTCTCTCTCTAAGTCTATCGCGCATCCTTCCCCTCTCTCATTTTCTCTCCTACCCTCTCAGTTCACATTTATCTTATATTAGTCCATATCAAAGCTCTTCGTATCTATCTATCTATCTATCTATCTATCTATCTATCTATCTATCTATCTATCTGTGTGTGTGTGTGCGCGTATCTATGTATCTAAGCTCTTTATATCTATTTATCTATTTATCTCAGTCCTTTTATATCTATCTATCTATCTATCTATCTATCTATATGTGTGTGTGTGTGTGTGTATGTATCTATGTATCTAAGCTATTCATTATCTATTTTTCTCAGTCCTTTTATCTCTCTCTCTCTCTCTCTCTCTCTCTCTCTCTCTCTCTCTCTCTCTCTATATATATATATATATATAAGCCCTTCATATCTATTTGTCTATTTTCTCAGTCCTTTCATATCTATCTATCTATCTATCTATCTATCTATCTATCTATCTATCTATCAGTGTATATATATATATAGATATATATAGATATAGATATGTATGTATATATGTATCTAAGCTCTTTATGTCTATCCATTTATCTCAGTCCTTTCATATCTTATCTATCTACATATATATGTGTTTGTATGTGTGTCTATATTTATCTAAGCTGTCCATATGTATTAAGCTAACACTGTTCATATCTATCTATGTATCTATCTATGTGCCAAACTATATATATATATATATATATATATATATATATATATATATATATATATAATTAAGATCATCATATCTATTTAACTGTCTACCTATCAAAGATTTTTTAATATCTATCTATCTATCTATCTATCTGATTTTGCTGGCAATTATTATTTTTCCTATCTCTCTTTCTAAACTGATTGACGTATCCTGATATAAATATTGACTTTGTCTTGTCTGGCGAAAAACTAACAGATATAAAATCCCAGTTCGGATCGACCAGTAATAATTTTCAGGAAATCTTACTTTTTAAACATTCTTCCGCAGTCTGTCGCTCCTGGTCATCTGTCGTCCGTGCACACACACACACACACACACACACACACACACACACACACACACGTATATTGTTTACTTGTAATAATGACACTGATTCTGAGTCTGAAACAAATTCGTGTAAAGGAAGATTCCGAACGTCGTCCAAAAAGCGAATTGCTTACAAGAGGGCCAACGCTATCAATTGAATTAGGCTTTGTACCATTTTACCTCCTGTTTCTCTATGCGTTACAGTAATACTGGAATAAAAGTAGTAATAAAATAATAGTAATAATGAAGAGTGTATAGAGCCAGAGTTTAGGGATAAAAAGCAACAATAATAAGATGGAATAAAACTAGTAATAAAATAATAGTAATAATGAAGATTGTATAGAGCCAGAGTGTTTGGATGAAAAGCAACAATAATAAGATGGAATAAAACTAGCAATAAAATAATAGTAATAATGAAGAGTGTATAGAGCCAGAGTTTAGGGATATAAAGCAACAATAATAAAATGGACTAAAACTAGTAATAAAATAATAGTAATAATGAAGATTGTATAGAGCCAGACTGTTGGGATATAAACTAATCGAACCTGCATTCTGGCTTCCATCATGTACACGGCTCTATTGCTGGAACATGACACTAATAATCTGGTTAGGTTTTAATTACCTATTTAAATGAGCCACGTGATTTCTAGGGATCTTTAACTTCTAGATTCATTTTCCTACACAAAATGTTAACAAGATCCCTTCATAAATGATTCTTTTAATTTGACATTGTTTCTTAGTAATATAAAGTTATTAGCCACTAAACATACAAAGAATATAAATATAAAAAATAATAATAATGGTATAAGTGTGTGTGTGCGTGTGCGTGTGTGTGTGTGTGTGTGTGTGTGGCTGAGCATGTGTTTTTGTAGGTGTGTATTGATGAATCCTCCCGTTGAAAACGACAGTTAAGATTTTACTGAACCACGTGCACAAGTTAATTGTTTAAAGTTGCATATTTCCTGTGACTTGCAATACAATGCAATGGTCATGTACTGATGTCAGATGATGCAACAATTACAGGCTTTATTTAGATAGGAGGATTCCATCTCCTAACTTTCATGCTGGTCGTTGCGGGAAGTAAGGGGGATCCCATGACATGACCTTAGCATACCCCGACACGCGAATGTGGCACAGGGGCAAGTGTGAAACTTCTCTTCTTTTGTGGCCGGAAACTCAGTCCTAAACAGGGAACTCCTGTTCAAAAGACCGGCGAAGAGGGTGAATCACTTATCATCCGGTTCACACCCCTCCCCAATCTTTTGAAAAGGAATAGAAATTTATCATTTGTTCGCTAAAAGGGGAACATGAAGGGAATTAGGGTTGTTCACTACAATGGGTGTGGCATGGGCGGTTTTAGCCGTAAAGGTTAGAACTTGTGAGACTAAGGAAGATAGTTCGTTTGAACATTTGCCATTGAAATAGCGATAAAGTAGCGAAACATTCACGATGTTTCCTCTTTGAAAATTTAGGATTAGGTTTCCGGACCCTTCTAAATTTTTTTTTTTTTCTCTTTCACTCCATTATTAATCGGAAAATATTCCTTGTAGAGGTTCTACCAGTGACTTTTTTTTTATAAATATTTTCATGGTAGTTGTTCGGACGAGCCCTTCGACTTTTTGAATTTAAGCGCAGTACTAGACTGGTGTAAAGATCTCATCAATTTACAATCGAGCTGGCTAGATGTAGCCGTAAGTTCTATGCTAAGAGTTTCTTTTCTCGCTTGTGGAACTCCCTTCCGGCGCCATTCTTTCCAACCAACTTTAATTCCTTTCTCGAAGACGCAAACCCATCCTTGCTCTGTCGCTAGTTCCATGGAAAGTGTTCAGACGAATTACCTTCTTTAGTTCCATCAGTCGTTACCTTCACGGCTAGAACCCGCCATGCCACGCACATTGTAGCGAACCGCCTTCATTCCCTTCGTATTCCATTAGTGAGACCTAAGTTCCACTCGAGCAATACCTTCCCACGAACCGTTTTGTGGAATCGACTCACAAGAGGATGCTTCCCCGATCACCTGTTCGAATCTAGGGATAACCGTTATCATTAGCACATATCCCCATAAACTCTTACTCTGTAATCCTCTACTTTGAGTTCCTCTCGCGCCTTGTACAGGGTGAACAGCATTATAAAAATATGTACATAGCAACCCTCGGTTCACGAATTTAATTCGTTCCTGAAAGCCGTTAGTGACCGGATATGTTCGTAAGCCGAAACTATTTCCCCATATGAATCAATGTAAAGCGGATTCATTCGTACTTGAAGGTTGTTCGTGACGTGAAATGTTCGTAAACCGAAACTATTTTCCCTATAAGAATCAATGTAAAATGAGATTTGTTTTTGT